TTATCGATGATAACAATTTTTTTTTTTTTTTATTATTGTCTAATACCACGTTAAAGTTTTTTTTTTTTTGAAAAGCAGGAAACTGTAAAAATTCTCATCAAGTACAAATAATTATAAAACTCATCCGCGGTAGTGCCAAGACTCTAATCGGTTTTTAAAATCTAATTTTCCGGTATGGGCGGAAGAAAAAACGTGGAAGTAGACGTATTGTTTTATTTGTCGGTCTATCGGGATGAAAAAAAAGTCGTGCGATTAAAAAGTATTATCAGAGAGTTGTGATAAGAATTTTTTCATGTTTTGTTTTTTTATACGCGAACGAGTTTTTTCCGAAATGAAATTTGAACTCCTGACCTCAACCCGGTTTCCGGTATCGCCTCCTATCGGATTTAAAACAAAACGAAAAAAATTTTTTCTTTTTTTCCGGGGGGGAAGGAGGGAAAGGGTAGATTACTATGAGTAATGATTTGTCACAATCGTGATGATGCGAAAGGAAAATGGCCGGTCGGTCACGTCCGGTTGTTGTTGTTGTTGTTTTCGTTCGAACGTGGCAATAAAAATCAAATAAAAAAAAAACCGTAATGGCGGATTACGGTGGAAAATCGTTAAAATTTATTTTTGTTTTTTCCTTATTATTATTATTGTTATTGAAAATATTGGGGGGTAGGGAGAGAGAGAAAGAGAGAGAGAGAGAGAGAGAGAGAGAGAGAAAGAGAGAGAGAGAGAGAGAGGGAGAGAGAGAGAGAGAGAAAAAGTTTTCCCTTACTTTTCGATTATAATAACAATTAAAATTAATTACCCGACTTTATTATTATTATTATTATTATTATTATTATTATTATTATTATTAGTATTATTATTATTATTACATTCATTCATCAACTTTTTCACCGACTTGTTAAAAAAAATTTTTTTTTTTTTTCTACTCTCCTGCCACGTCACTCGGAATATATCGAACGAAAAGAATTTTTTCATCCTCTTTTTTTTTTTAACCGCATAAAAAAACAAATAAAAAAAAATTTTATTTATTTATTAAATAAAGTTATTTAAACTTTCTGGAATGTTGTAAAAACTTCTTCGGAAGTAACCGGAGAAAGTTACCGAAAGGGAGGAAAGGGAAGGGGGAGAAGAAGAGAGAGGGGAGAGCAATAAAACTTTTCGTTAAATATTTCGATATTAGAAATTTCACCGGTTGTTACCTAACTCGAGGCGTTTTTTAATGGTTAACAAAATTAACGGTTTTAAGGGTCGAAAAATAAGAAATATTTTCTAGATATTTTATCATTCGAAATGTGAAGAGTTCGAATGATGGGGGGTAGGGAGAGAGTGGACGGGGGGCAGCGGTAAGAAATCTTTTCCGGATGAAATTTGACAAAACGTTATAAATTTCAAACGGTTTTAAAAACGTTGCAATTTCTCGATGTTTATACTCATATTTAAAATTTTTAAAAATCGATAAAACCACCGAAAAAAAAATCCAGTTCGACGTGTCCCAACTCTCGTTTTCCTACCCCCCTCTCCCCTCCCCAAAAAAAAAAAAATTTCTGGAAATAATCGAGGGAGTGTAAGAAAAAGAAAAAAAAATTTATATATATATTCAAGTGGATTTATTTATTTTTTTTCCATAAAAAATTTTCCCTTGAAAGTTTTTGAAAATTTTTTTCATTAAAATGACCTTGAAAAGTTAAGGAGGGGGAGGAGGGCGGTTGGGGGAGAACGCCGGAGAGGGGGGACAGGTGAAAAGTTTTACCGGAGTCTTCATTTCGCGGGTTTTCACCAAACTAAGTTTTCCGGTCCTTATCGTCATTCTTCTCATTCTTCCCCCTTTCCCTTCCCGAACTTATCGATTTCGTCTTGAATGCTACGAATCAAGTAGTTGGCGGGGAAGGGTACGGGAGTCGGGGGGGGGCATGGCAGAAGAAAGAAGTACTACGGGAAAATATTAAAAATTTTTTCCTCTTCTTTTCTTTTCGTAACTTTTTAAAAAAAAAGTAAAAATAAAAGACTTGGACTTACTTATCAATAAGTTTCTACTTCCACTTTTTTTTTTTTTTTCATCGAATAATATAATAACTCTCAAACGTGGAAATAGAAATTAATAATAATAATGATAATATAAAAAAAAAAATAATAATAATAATAAAAATTTCGTTTTAAAATTCATTTTCGAAATTTTTTCTTGTTCTCTCTCTCTGTTTCTCCCCATGAATTTCTTCGGATGGAAATGTAACGTTTTGTAGGGGGATTTGGGGGGAAGGAAGGGGAAGAAAGAGGAAAAAAAATTTTTTTTTTTTTTTCCTTCGGAATTAATATCGAACTTATGTAAAATCTAATAATGATAATGATGATGATGACGTAAATCGATAATTACATGAAAATTTTTTTCTTTTTTCTCGAATAAAAATTCGGACAAACAACAATAACAACAACAACAACAAAAACAACCACAAATAAAATACCTTCTTATCAAAATCGATTGATTGAATTTGATATTTTTAGAATCTTCCAAACGTTAATTCCCAACCTTTTTTCCTATCCATTCCCTTTCAACCCCCCCCCCCTTCAAATTTTCCTTTTTCATCAAAAAGTTTTTTTTTTCCTTACTAAGAAAAAAAAAAAAAACATTCTTTATTATTATTATTATTATTATTATTATTATTATTATTATTATTATTATTATTAATTTTTCAACGAATGCGTTTTTTTTTTTTAAATTTACGATACGTCGCACTGGAAAATTAAATGAAATAATAATAATAAAAATAATAATAATAATAATAAAGCATTAAAATCATTTTTTTTTTTTGTTTTGTTTTTGTCGAAAATTGTAAAATACAAATTTAATTTATCATTATTATTATTATTATATCTCCAGAAGAAAAAATGATTGTTCGAATGTGGGAACGATGTTATTATCATCATCCTTATTATTATTATTAATAATAATATTGTTTAAAAATGTCGATTACGTTTTTTTTTTTTTTTTTTTTTTTTTTTTTATGAGAAAATAATTGAAGTATTAAATTTTCTCGTTTTTAATTCCAATAATACAAAAAACAAAACGAAACGAATTATCATCATCATCATCGTCATTATTATTATTATTATTATTATTATTATTATTATTTATTATTATTATTATTATTATTATTATTATTTATTATTATTATTATTTATTATTATTTATTATTATTATTATTATTATTATTTATTATTATTTATTATTATTATTATTATTTATTATTATTATTATTATTTATTATTATTATTATTATTTATTATTATTATTATTATTATTATTATTATTATTATTATTATTATTATTATTATTATTATTATTGAATTCCAGTCGATTTCTTTTCAATATCAATTGATAATTTCGGTTAAAATGTCCGGGTCGTTGTTGTTGTTGTTGTCATCGTCGTAGAGATTTTAAAACGTCAGGTAAATAAAAAAAAGGAGGGGAAGGAGGAGGGGATGGCGGTGGTGCTGGAAGGGGGTACGTGACGTCATCGTAAAAAAAAAAAATTTTTATTTTAATAATAACGACAGTCGCGACGTTTTTTTTTATTTCCTTATCATTTTGAAATTGTCACCTCGATTGTCTCCAGAATGTATTTTTTCCTCAACGAGTTATCTTTATCATCATCATCTCCCCCGTCCCCCTTCCCACTTCCGATATTTTTTCATTTCCTTACAAAAACAATCCGCCCCCCTCCTCCCATCTTATCTCTCATTCATTTCATTCTTATCATCTTTTCTGGAGAGAAAAAAAAAAACTGCTTTAATTTTTTTTTTTTTTTTTTTTCAATTAAAAAAAAAAAAGAAAAATTTTTTTTTTGTTTTTTGGAAAAAAAAAAAAAAAATGAAAATCGACTTTTCCAAAAAGTTTTCATTTAAAAAAAAAAATTTTCCTTTTTTTTTCCTCTTCATTTTCCTCATTCGAAAAAGTAAAAACGAATTCTCCAAAGTAAAAAAGCTTTCTGGAATAAAAAAAAAGAAAATTTTTTCCTTTTTTCTTTTTCCTGTTGTTGCTACTCCTTTGTGCAAGATTCGGTGGCAGCCCCCTCCCCTTCCACCCCGTCCCCCTCAACGACTATATTTAAGTTATTCAATTTGTTTTTTTTTCTCTAGTAAAAAGCCAAAAATTTTCCAAGGAAAAACAAAAAAAAAAAAAAAAAAAAAAAAAAAAAAAAAAAATCGCTTAGAATCTTTTCCATCTATTTTTATTTTCTATCTTTGTTTGTTTGTTTGTTTGTTTTTTCTCTAAAAAGAACGCAAATGAATTCACCGTTTTTTGTTTATTTATTACCGTCGCGATTATTATCATTATTATTATTACTTAATAAATAAATAATTTATCACGGTGAATATACGTATAAAATATATACATATATTTTAATTTTAAATAAATAAATAAATAAATAATAATAATAATAATAATAATAATGATAAAATCTTATTGAATTTACATAAATAAATAAATTATTAATTATTTTCATTGATTTTAATATATATTTCGAATTTCATTGTCATCATCATCATCATTATTATTAATTAGACACGTTTATTTATTCTATGACTCTCGAATAATATTAATATTGATAATAATAATAATAATAATAATAATAATAATAATAAGGGAATGAAATGAAATTTAATTAAAATTAATATTGGGGGGGAGGGAAAAAAAAATAATAATAATAATTTTTGTTTCAGTTCATCGTGACGTAGGAGTCGGTGGGGGTGGTGATGGTGGTGGCTGTGGCGGAGGAGGTGGTGTCGGTGTCGATTTGATATCGTGCAACAACAACACCAATGGCGATCAAGTCAATCTCACGGAAATAATAAAAACGTTCAAATTAAAATGGCCGGTCGAAGAGTGGAAAAAATTAGGTTTGTTCGACGATGAATATTTGTATAAGATAAATAAATATTGGATGAAATTTCCGCCCCCCTCGCCTATGTCACATTATTTTATGGGGATCATTTATTCCGTCATCATGGTCGTCGGAGTTTTTGGTAACTTTTTAATTATTTACTTGTTTTTAAGGTGAGTTTTTTAACAAAATAAGTTTTTTTTTTTGTGACTCTTCCCCTTCTCCCTCACTCCTCCTTTTTCCCCTTCTCTCACTCGTCCTGCTTATCCTCTTTCCCCTTCTGTCACTTCTCTTAATCCTTCTCCTCTTTCCCCTTCTGTCACTTCTCTTAATCCTTCTCCTCTTTCCCCTTCTGTCACTTCTCTTAATCCTTCTCCTCTTTCCCCTATCTTACTCCACTTCCCCCTTCTCTCACTCCTCATCCTCCTTCTCTTTCCCCTTCTCTCACTCCTATCCTTCCTTTTTCCCCTTCTCTTACTTCCTACTTTTCCCTTCTCTCACTCCTCCTCATTATTATTATCATTATTACTTTAATCTGAGATTCCCGTTACGAATGGATCAAATGGAAAAAAAACGGGAATTCTGGGATCGTTATACGTTTTCTCCCCCCCCTTTTCCCTCGTCCCTTCTCATTTTTTCTTTCTCTTTCCCGTATCGGCAACAGGAAAATTATTAATAATATTATTATTATTATTATTTTTTTTTTGAATAACGAACCGATATTTTTAATATATAACGTTTACCTTTACCCTTTCCAACAGTATGTACGTCAGCAATCATTATTATTATTATTATTATTATTATTTTTAATGATAGTTTTTAATTTTTTTTTTTTTTTTTTTTTTTTTTTTACCGGAAATAATAATTTGTAATGTTTTGTTAAAATTATTTTCTCGTTCATTTTGTGCTCGTATCTCTCTTTATCTCTTTCACCTCCCCACTCCCTCCCTCCCTTTCCCTTCCACTTTCTCTCCCTCTCTTTCATTTTTAACCTCTACTTTTTTTTTCTATCATGTTCTTATTAACAACCTTTTTTGTATACTTTTAAACAATTCCCTTAAAAGAATTATCATCGACCCTGCAGCGGATCTAATTAAATTGTTTTTTCTATTTTCCATCTCTTTCTCTCTCTTTCCTTTTCCTACTCGGATGTAAACGTTTTACTTTCTTTTTCTTTTTTTTTTGTTTTTTTATCCGTTGTATCAATTAAAAAAATGATTTGAAATCATAAAATAATAATAATAATAAAAAAAAGGGTAATGATAAATAAAAAAAAAAAAAAAAACAATCGTGATCTGTGACCGATCGATAATGATAATAATAATAATAATAATAATAATAATGATTTGTTTTTTTATTTTGATTTTTTAAATTTTACAGGAAACGATCGCTTCGAACGCCTTCGAACGTATTCATATTTAATTTAGCCGTTAGCGATTCGCTTCTACTTTTAAAAATGCCTGTTTTTATAATTAATTCCTTTTATTTGGGTCCAGCACTTGGGAATTTAGGTAAGATAACAATTAAAAAAATCACCATCACCACCATCACCACCACCACCACCATTACCATCATCATCATCATCATCATCATCATCGTCATCATAATCGCGAACGCCGCCATTTATTACATATCGGGCGTAAAACACGGTACAAAAATTTTTTTTTTTTTTTTTCGCGACAGCGTGTTTAATAAATAAATTTTAAAATAACAAATCTTCTGCCACGTCATGTGTTCGTGTAAGAAGAAAACGCGTGTTTGCAATGTAACTGATACGAATTAAAATTTTAATGTTATCCAAATCAAAACGCGACTGATTCCATTTATCTCCAGCATCTGGAAAAACTATTACATTTCCCAAAAATAATGATAATTATTATTATTATCATTATACCATTCGGGAAATTTAGAATAAAAATTCCCTCGTCGGAATTTATTTTAAAATAATTAATCTTAAAATTTTAAAAGGAGACGCGTGGGGGAGGGAAGGAAGAGGAGAAGGCGATCCCAATGGAAAATTCACGTTTTGTTTGATTCGAGTTCGATCGATCGATAGGATAATAAAATTTCCCCCCCCCTCCTCACTCCCTCTCTCCCCGAAAAATAATACGATTTTTTTTTTGGAAAAAAAAGGGGAAAACCACCGTTTTGATTTTCTAATTTTCCACAATTGGATTTTATTCTTACACACACACGTTTTTCCACTTTTCCATTTTTTTTTTCTTTCTCCATACGATTAATGAATTTTGTCATCGACGGTGAAAATTTAAAATCTGGATTAGCGGTATAAAAAAACTTTCGTGGGATTAGATTACGCATACGATTAAATCATCGAACCTTCTTCTTCTCCCCCCGCGTCTTTTTTCATCATCGTCACCGTCTTTGCTAACCGGAAGCAGAGACAGAGAGAGAGAGAGAGAGAAAGAAAATACAAAACTTTCATTAAAAATAAATAATAAAAGAAAAAAAGAAAAAGTGGAGGGAAAAAAATTAAACGCACGTTAACCGTCGTCAACATTCGAATCTAAACCCACGTCAGATGTTTTATTAACGCATTTCCATTTTTAATTATTATTATTATTATTATTATTATTATTAATTTATGCGAAAAAAAAAAAAATTTTTTTTTAAACGCGTTTAAAAAGGAAAAAAAATTAATTACGCGGCGTTAAAAATTAAATTTAAAATAATTTAAAATTAAAATTACAAACAAAAACGAGTTTTTATCCCCCCACCGCCTTCCCTCTCCCTTTCCTCTTTTATTCCCCCCTAGACTCTTATCCTTTCCCTTTGTTTTCCTCCCCTCCCCTATTTTAAATATTAATATTATTCAAAAAAGGATGTCGCGGCAAACTTATTATTATTATTATAATCGTCTTCATAATCATCATAATCATCACGATTATTATTATTATTATCATCATTATCATTATCATTATTAATTCATTAAAATAATATCGTGAATTGATATTTTTTTAATAAAAATTAAATTATTTATATGCGTATTCATTTGTTTCTGTTTTTTTTTTTTTCACGAATGTTACGTCATTGATTTCCATTTCCGGTTTTATTTCCACTTCCGTTTTTATTTCCACTTTTCCTTTTCTCGTAAAAAGTTTCGAAAAATGAATTTTTATTTTTTTTTTTGCACTCTAAGAGAGAGGCTCTCTTGATTGTATTGAATATCTTTTTCATTCCTTCCACTTTTCTCCAGCAGGAGCTGGAGCAAAAGCTGATTTTCCAGGTTTTTTTATAATGACCGGAATCAATTTTGAGTTATCATAATAACAATTCAAACACTCGCGAATGGTATTTTACACCGTCTGTTTCGATTCCCCCCCCCCTTTCCCCACTTCTCTCCCCCTTGACTTTCTCATTTCCACTCGAATAGAAAAGTAGATGGAAAAAAAAATTTTTGTTTTTTAAACTCGTTCGCTGTAGCGTAATGAATATAAATTTATTTCCTGACCGCCATATTTATTATTATTATTTGCTTTTAATAAATAAATATTTACCATTCATAATAATAATAATAATCATTTATTTATTTATTTAATAGGTTGTTCCGCTTACGGATTCGTCGGAGGTTTAACCGGAACCGTATCGATAATGACGTTGGCAGCCATAGCGTTCGACAGGTATCAGGTCATAGTTCATCCGTTGGAAAGGAAAACGAAAGCGGCCGTTTATTTTCAAATATTATTAATATGGATCTACGCCATTTTTTTTTCGATAATACCACTTTTGGACGTGGGTTTGAACAAATACGTTCCCGAGGGTTACCTCACGTCGTGTTCATTCGATTATCTGACCCAAGACACGGCGAGTCGGTTGACGATATTCGTCTTTTTCGTGGCAGCATGGATCGTGCCCCTGAGCATAATACTGGGTAGTTACATGGCTTTGTACAAAGTCGTTCTCAAAGCTCGGGGCACACATTTCAACACCGTCATGACGAGACACTGCAAAGACATTGAAATACAAAGGCCGGAATTGAAAGCTGCCGTGACTGTGATATGCATCGTTTGCTTGTGGACGCTCTCCTGGACTCCGTATGCCGTTGTCGCGCTTTTAGGTATAACCGGAAATGAAAAATACATATCTCCGATGTCTTCGATGATTCCCGCGTTGTTTTGCAAAACCGCGAGTTGCATCGATCCGTTCGTTTATGCCGCGACGAATCGAAGGTTTCGTAACGAATTGAAGAGGAAATATAGGAAAAGGTCGAGGTATCAACCGAGTTTGAAAACGGAACGGAAAGATTTTTTCACGCTGTCGGAAGATAACAACGACAGAGGTAAAGGAAATACTATAAGAATACGAGAGAAATAAATAAATTACGTAATTTTAAATGTTATGACGATGACGACGACGACGACGATGATGATAATAATAATGATAATAATAATAAAATAAAATAAAAAAATTTTTTGTTTCTCTTACGGTTTGTTAAGTCTCGTGTTAACTTCGGTTATGCAATTGATTGAAGTGCCTTCTGAAATAAATAAATATAAAAATTATTATTTTACTATATAAATAATATTAAAATAATAATGATAATGATGATGATGATGATGACGAAAGGACTATTACGTGATTAAATAATTTAAATAAAAAATTCGATTGTTGTGTGTTATATACATCGATAAAATGCGTCTGAAATGTAATTGAATATAAATGGAAATTTAAAAATAGAAAATCGATCGATCGATCGATTGATTGATCGAATGCGAAATCGATAATTGGCATTCGTAGTAGTAAATGCGAGACGAAAAAAATTTAACGAGGGGAAGAAGAAAGAGGGGAGGGAAAGTGTTATTAAAAAAAAAAAAAACTTTTTATTTTTGTAATTGTTTAGAAAAACGATTTATCGGTTTTTAAGGTTCAGGAACGAAATTCAACAATAGGCAGACAGAAAGAAAGAGAGATATGAATAGAAAAAAAATGTGAGAAAAAGAGAGAGAGAGATGAATAGAAAGATAATGTAAGAAAGTGAAAAAGAAAAGATAAAAAAGAGATAGCGAGAACGTGAAAAAGAGTTAGAGAAATATGGAAACAGAAAAATAATGGAAATAGAAAGAGAAAAAAAAGAGAAAAATTGTGAGAATGAGAGAGAAAAACAGAGAACAAGAGAAAGAGAGATAGCGAAAAAAAACAGAGAGAGAAAGAAAGAAAATCAGAGAACAGTTAGAAGAAGAAAGAATGAGTAAGAGAGAGAGAGAGAAACAGGGAACAAGAAAAAGAAAAATAAAGAAAATCAGAAAAATAGAAAGAGAATGAGACTTAAAGAGAAACAGAGAAAAAAGATACAAAAACAAACGGAAACATTTTTTTTTTTTTTTTAAATCAATCAAAAAAACTATTTTCCGGTTTATTATTAAATTTCTTCAAAAAAAAAACGAAAATACCAAATAAAAAAAATTTGAAATAATAATAAAAAAAAAAAAGTAAAAAAGAAATTCCAGTTTTCCTTTTTTCCTTTTTTCCTTTTATCCACCAAATTATTGGAAATACTAAAAAAATAAAAGGACCAAATTATTGTACAAAAACAAAAAAAAAAAAAATTCCTGTAAAAATTTATCGATCCTGGAAAAAAAAAAAAAACAACCGAAATCAAACATTTCCTAATCATCATTTCGAAAAAAACCCAAACAAAACCTGAACCCTAAAATAAATAATTAATTAATGATAAATTATCATTATTATTTGTTTTTTTTTTTTCTTTTTACGACAGGATTCACGTTGAAAAAAAAAAGTTTCGTTTAGAAAAAACTTTTAATTGACATTTCAACTCAAAAAAAAAAAAAACAAAAAAAAAACAATAATAATAATAATAGTAATCAACGAGCTTAAAACGTCGTGGAATTAGTTAATTATCGATAACGACAAACAAAAAAAAAACGTGGTACAAGTGAAAGATAATAATAATAATAATAATAATAATAATAATAATAAACTACGAACAATAAAATACGAAAAATATTTTTTTTACATTTTTTCTTTTTTAAATAAATAAATCAAAATTTATGGAGGGAAAAAAAAGTAATAATAATAGTAATAATAGTAATAATAATAATAATAATAATAATAATAATAATAATAATAATAATAATAATAATAATAATAATAATAATAATATTTTTTTGTTAGTGTTTTTTTTTTTAATTAAATAATTTAATTTAGTAAAAGTACAAAATTAAAAAAACGAAAAAAGTTTTTGGTTTTTTTGAGATTGACGTTGAAAATTCCCCCCCCCCTCCCCCGTTTAATAAAAAAAAAAAAAAAGTTTTCAAAACTTGTTTAATTTTCTTGTATTTTCCCTTATTATCATTATCATTATTATTATTAATAAATTATATAAATTCAGTTTTGGAAAAAAAAAAAAAAAACCGAAATTTTTTTTTTTTAAATTTTTATGGGGAGGAAGGGAAATTTATAACATATCCAAAGCAGTAGAAAAGGTGAAAATATTTTATACTGTTGAAAAACTTTTTTTTTCTTTCTCTTCCTTTTTCTTTTTTTTTAAGTTTGTTTAAATAAATAAATGAATAAATAATATTTTTTTTTTCGAATAATACTAATTCTTATTTATTTATTTATTTATGAAAAAAGAAAACCTTTTAATATTAAAAAAAAAAAATAAAAGAAAAAAGAAAAAAGAAAGAGAGAAAGAGAAATAGAAAGAAAAAAAAAGGATTAAATCAGTATGCATAAAAAGAAAAAGTAAATATATATATTTATCTTTTATAAAAAGAAAAAAAGAAAAAAAAGTTTTTAATTTATTTTAATTTCCTTTTTATAATAATAATAATAATCATAAAAAACAACATTAAACGAATTTTATCAAATCGACAACAACAACAACAAACAAATAAAAAAAAAAAAAATTTTTAAATACCAAATCATTTTCAATTACTAAATAAACACCTTTTTCCTTTCTTTCTCTCTCTCTTACTTCAACCTTACATTTCTGTCATTGCAATCAAAAGTTTAATAATTTCTTTTTCTTGAACAACAACAACAAGTTGGCGAGCTTTATAAAAGTTTATCGAAAGTTTTAGAAATGATTTTACTTTAAAAAAAAAATTCATGAGCCCCCCTCACACAAACTTTGGAAATATTAGGCAAAAACAATTTGGAAAAGAATCGACAATCATGTTAAAATTAATTCCGATATAAAAATAAATATCACATGATTTCCATTATGAAAAAATTAATCGTCAAATAAAAAAAGTAAAACATTTGATTCGTTTATAATATTTAATGGTAATAATCGGTTTGTCAACATTTGACAAGTTTCAGTTTAAAAATGATGAGTTAAAAATACTATAAAATTGATAAATTATTAATTTGAAATAATTTTCAATTGGGTAACATGTTATCAAACATTTTCACAACAAATCTAACATGCAAAGGTAAGGTGAATTATAAAAATCGCTAACTTTGTAACTTTCGTAACTGATAATTTCATATCGAAATTAGAATATGAATTATTAAGAATGAAAAAAAGATTGATTGATTGATAATATTGCCTATTAAATAATTATTAATTTACTAAATTTGAGTTTGATTGCATGTTTACGGTGAATTCACACAAAAATTATTATTATCATTTTTTCCTTTCGAATCACTAAAATACACATTATGATAAATTAAATTTAAGTCAATAAATCTTTATGGCCTGTTTTAGGATTTGATTTGGTATTTAATCTACCCAATAAAACACAGTCAGCTTCGTTTAATGTTATTTCTTTATCCGTATTAATAAATTTTGTCGATAATTCCAAATCTTTAATTAATAACCTAACTTTAACGCCAGGATAATATTGCCTAGAAAAAAGTAAAAGAGCTCAATGAGGTTTTTAAAAGTTTTTAGAGTTTTTTAAATAATAATTAAAAAGAAAAAAATTTATTACTTACTCGGAAAATTTTTGTGGTTTTTGACAAACCGTTGGAAATTTCCAACCAAAATCAATGTATAAATCATTATCCATAACGTGATATATGGTTCCAATGACAATTTTACCTTCAGGATCACCGAGCTAACGTGAAAAAAATGATTTATTTAAATCGATAGTAAAAATATGTAATTATTTCAATTTAATTCAAATATCGAATGTGTGACATACTTGCATAAATTTCGAATTTCTCAATAAAGATGCAAAACTTTCCTGTTCTGTAGAGTCTTTAGTTGATTTTTCAGACTCCAATAATATTTCGGTTTGTTTTTCAAATGATTTTGCAAAACCACTTAAATTATCATTTAAATTTTTTTCCGGTGATTTTTCCGTACAAAACGATAATCTCGAACCGACGACACTACTATTATAATTCTTAAATATATTATTAAGAATTATATTTTTACCGCGTAATCGAACACACGCCATTTTTACATAAACGTTTTGTGAGTGAATGAACGCACTCTCGAAGAAACGGCATGAATAGTTTCTGAAATTCTAAAGTTTTGAAACAAACTCGTCGTTATGAAACATTTCGTTTATTCAAATTCGGTCACAAAATAATCTTACCGTGGCATAATTATTAATGTCCCAAATCTTTTATTAAAATATTACAAAGAATTAAACGAGAATAATAAATAAACCTTCATTTAAAAAAATTTACAAATATTAAAATAAAAAATTTACGTGTTTATCTCTTATTGAAAAAGAAAATTCAAAATATTATACAAGGAATTAAATTATATGCATATATAATTAATTAATTGAATAAATCAAAAATTTATTAATAATTAAACAATTTATTGAAAATAAGGCTTAAATTATAAATTAATGGGTTAATTTAAATAACTATTAAATAAAAAAAAAAAAAAAATTAGTTCATAATAACATTTTCAGTTAAAAATCAATTTAAAAAAAAAAAAAGGAAAAATATTTTTTTTTTATTCTGTCATGAAATATTATTTATTACCTAAATTTTTTTTTGTCTCATCAAAAAAATTTACAACTCCAATAATAATAATAATAATAATATTTCATTGGGTATATTATAAATTCATTAAGTAATAACAAATATTAAATAAATAAATAAATAAAAATTACACCTTTAGAAATTATTTTCTCATATATATAAATATATATTCGAAAGATGAAAATTTGAAAAAAAAAAAAGCATACAACTAATTTATAATGAAAACACATAATTGAAATAAAAAAAAAATTTTTTTATAATATGTTGGCAAAGCCAAAATACTGATTGCACATTAAGCAATTGTTTGTTTTATTTAATTAAAAAGATAATAATCAATCAATCAATAATGTAAAAATTATTTTTTTATAATAAAAATGGCGGAAAACAAAATACGAACAACATTTTAAATTGCAAATTCAATTTAAATTTCTCAATGATTGTTATCGACAAAATGAAAACTTTCCTGTTTAAGCTGATAATTATTTTTTTTTTTTTAATTTTTATTTTTAAACTAATTTTTTACTTTTTATTAACAAGTTTTGACAGTCAATTAAAATTGACGAGAAACACTATTTAAGCATTTAAAATGATTTTTTTTCTTATTCATTTATTTTTTTTATTAATATTTGCTATTTATATATATATATATATTTTCTTATTCTTTTTCTCCTTTATTTTTTTTTTTAAATCAAATTAATTTGAAAAACAATTACAAATAAAAAATAAAAAAAAAAAAATACAGACTTTTTATCATTGATTTTTAATAAGTTCTTTTCCGACTGCATAAGTAACAAGATTATTCCAATCTAGTTTTGATCTTGTCACTGGTAACTGCCTTCTTAAAGCTTTGAATGTTGTATCTGACATTGTTTGATAATTTTCAGAAATAGCAATTTGATATTCATTTTCAGCTTGTTCGACAATTTTAATAATATCTTTAGCCGTTTGTTGCTCATCCGATACTGTTACAGATTCTTTAATGTCTTTCGAACTGACCAATTGAACATTTCCATCCTCATAATAATGTACTTGAACTTTGAGCAAACCCCTCAGTTCAGCTGTCGAGGAAGAATCTGGACTAAATGTGATATTAAATTGCGATCTCCACCTTCCGTTCCAAAAATTTTTCGGTTGAAATTGATGATCTTCAATGCATGCGATTAATGTTATTTCATTTCCTTGACTTTTGCCAAAAACGCAGCTCACTCCATGTTTATAATGATTGCTTGTATAGGCCAAAAATTTTTCTTCAAGCGCACTTCTCCATGATTCAGATGTCACATCAGGTTCGCAACTTTGAAAATCCGATGCTTCCTTTCTTAAATGATCATATTTAAAACTTTGTTTAGATCTCGGATCGTAAAATCTCGATCCAGTAAGATCATTGTATTCTGTGATTAAGCAATAATGACCGACATTTTCTATTTTAACTGGAGTCAATTGATCTTTATTATATTGTGAAAGTGCTCCAGATGCTCCTTCTTTTAATAATTTATCATTATTTAAAAGTACTCTAACATCGTTAAATACTTCATTGAATTCTCCCGGGGGAGAATGTAAGATAAAATCGGATACAATTCTAAGTTTTTCATCATCAGGTATTGGAGTATCACCATTGGCAACCATCTGAAAATAATAATAATAATAATATATAAATAATTAACATAAAATATTATTCATTAATATTCAAACGCATTTTTTTTTTTTGGGAAGATAAAAATCGTTTCCCGACAACCGCAACCTTCAAATAACATTGAAAATAATTACAATCACTATTGTATGTATGATTCATCATACATCTACAAAAAAAAAAAATAATTGAATTGTATAAAATTACAAAAAGGAAGAATTTACACAAGTAATCAAAATTAAAAAGAAATTTTTTTTTTATAAAAACTATGAAATATAATGCGAAAAATAAAATACATGAATATAACTGGAATGTATATTTAAAAGATGATTCACTCAGTTAAAAATCAATTAATAAATTCTCATTTTTTGTGATTAAACGATAATATATATCAACAATCAAACATAATTATTAATATTAAACTTATTATTTTATTAAAAGTTTCAAGTATCACTTGTTAAAGTGGTTTAATAACTGTAATAAAAAAAAAAAAATATTTATGTTCGTACATATCCTATACATATATTAATGTTTCACTAAATAAAAAATAAATAAAAACTAATTTTTAAAAAACAAAAAAGAACATCAATACAAACCTTTTATCTTATGACCGATTAAAAAACACGACGAAAAAAAAAAAGAAATCGTAAATAAATTTAATTAAAAATAAATGTATATTTTTAAGAAAATGCGGACATGAAACAAAAACAATAATACAGTAACTTGTCAGCCACGTAAAAAAATTAAAAATGGCGAATTTTTTTTTTTTTGTAAAATTGCGACAAAAATCTCTTCGACGTAAAAGTTTTACTTTTAGGCATTTTCCGCCTCGAAATTGTTTTTATTTTTTTTAATTGCGAATCGGAAAATTTTCTATTTTATTAAAATAATATATAAATCTTGTTAAATATATTTAAATTAAATAAAAACGTGACAAAAATAAAGGATAAACAAACAACGACGAAACTTTAATTTAATTGTAAAAATAAATGAAATGTGTTCCACCATAAGAAAAAAAAATTTTTTATTTAATAATTTTATTAATAACTTTAATAAATTTTAATTAAATCATTCGATAAATTTAATAATCGTGGGTTGGAATTAATATTAAAATAATAAACGTATATAAATTTATTGTAAATACTCACAAAATATTTATTTCATTTAATATAATATAACAACGATTAAAATACTTAATAATATATGTATATATATATAAATTCACAAAAAAAAAAAGAAAAAATCAAACAATAACATAATAATAATAATAATAATAATAATATCAAGTAACAAAAATTAAATAAATAAATATATATATATATATATATATATATATATATATATATATTTTAATATGTAATTGGCACATTTATATACCTTGACTTAGTTTAAATAAAAAAAATAAAAAAAAAGTATTCCAGTCGATTAAAATATGGCACTTTATGTGTACACTTATAAAAAAGCGTTTTAAACAATTATATTTTTTTTTCTGTCAATAATTATTATCTATTTTTACTAAAAAAACATAAATTACATAAAGAGAGATGCATATTCATGTGGTAGTGCTCCTCTTCTTGGAAAAAATGTATGATTGAGTGAATAATTTAATAAATTACCCAAATTCGATGTGTAAATATCAGCAAACCTACAAAACAAAATGGATTATTTTTTTTGTAATAAAAATAAAAAAATTTGTTTTATTTAAAAAAAATAATTTACCTGAATAAACGTCTTGAAAAATACGTTGGATTATTATAAGTTCTAAAAACTGAACCAAATTGTGGATTGAATACATTTTTCGTTGATTGTCTGAAACGTAAAAAAAAAATTTTTTATTTTATTTAAACAAATTTAAAATTAAATTCAAAAAATGAGGTAAAACCTACAATAAATAATTTCTTTCATCTATCCATTGTTTAACTTCTTTTTCAGAACTTTCATCTTCTGCTAAATATTCATTTTCTTCAATCAATTGTGTGAGAACTTGAAGCCAATTACTATCCATTTTAAACGATTGTTTGTTTAATGTTTGTATTTCGTGCTGTAAAGAAAAAAAAACATAATTTATAATTTAAAAAATAAAAATAATTTATTTAAATACTCATTAAATACCGTTAATTCGTGTATTATGGCACCCGTTCGCCAACCGTGTTTTAACGTAACATCAGCTAAATCAGAATATGGATGATCGCCAAAATATAAAACTTCGCTTCCAACCCATCCAGTTATTTCCTTTAACTGTTTCATTGTACCCTTAAAATAAAAACCTTGTGGAATTACATAATAATAATAATAATAAACGAATGGGATTACGTAGAAAAACGTTTACTTCGCAATAAATAACTCCTTTTTCCAATTTTGTCACCCTGTCCCAAAGTTGAGTTTTTAATTTTGTATCAAATATTCTTATTGGTGTCGTTTCATCTGTGAAAAATTTTGGTTTTCTCGCTTGTACAATAACAATATCGAAAAAATCTTTCCATCCTTGTCCCAATATAACATTTAAACCTTTATTCCTGTTAAAAAAAAAAAATTATTTAAAAAAACTCGAAATTTGATGGAAAAAATTAATTAATAATAAACTCACACAAAATGAAAAGGACTATTTGTTATTAAAAATAATTTTTTCCCTGCATTTTTTAATTTAATTAACAATTTAGTGATATCAGTATTTTCTTCTAAATATTTATTTGTATTTTCCATAACTTCTGAATGCATGACCGGATGTATGCTTCCTATCGCACTCTGTAAAATAAATTCAGGTTCGAACTTCACACAAAAAAATCATCAACGACACCAAAAAATTCACTTTTCTCACTAAATTATAAAAGACTAACTTAAATTATGTCACCACATACCTTTGTTACATATTAATCAGGATTAAACAAAAAAAAAAAACAAGGATGTCAAATATCATCTCCATATAGGAATGATTATTATAAAGGTATAGGTTGATGACGAACAATGAAAGGAAAAATGGTTTCGTAATCGTTTAAAATCCTTTAAAATAAAAAAACATTAAGGAATAATTTAATATAAAACATTCATTGAAATTATTACATTGTTTTACAATTTGAACAACAACATTCATTTTGAAAAATATTTAAAATCATTTCAAGATTAATTATCGAATATTTGGAAATACTCACTCTGACATCTCGAAAAACAATTTCAGGATGATAATCGAAACCTTTCGCATCGAAATAATCTACAATGCAACAGAGTAAACTCATTTCAGGTCTTGAAAATATATCAGCCAATTGATATAATTTTGTTCTTCCCTAAAACAAACAACAATTTTTATTATTATTATTATTAATTTTATGAGTTACCTAAATTTATAAAAAGAAATTATTCGATTACTCACAGAACCGATTTTATCTTTGGCTTCGACAAATGCAAGCGGGATAACTTTATTCTTATACAATTGTATAACTTCTTCATCGGGGACTCTTCTCAAACCTTTATAAACTGTACCCAATTGAATTTGTAAAAATGAATCCAATTTAACGAATAAACCTTTTTCAATATCATAATGTAAGCCTCTTATTGTAAAATCTGGATTATATTTTAAATTCAAAACATCTTTCGGATACTAAAACAATCACAAAATGTTTATTTTAAAAAAAATGTTTCGAATGTTGGGATTTTTTCTTTTTTTTTTTTTTGTAAGAAAAAATTCAAAATGTGGATTCATATCGATTACTACTAATTAATTGACTCTACCATAAATTTATTGACTAATGCTTCTTTACCCAAGTTAAATATAAGTAAATCCAATGAGGGTTTATAACAAGCAAGCGTGTAATCATAATCGAAACCATAAACTGAAATTTCCTTCAAGGCCAATTCATTACAAGCAAACACTCCATTCGGATTGACGTCCCTGGGAAGTTTTTTAGCTAAAATTATTCGTTAAATGAATTAAAAATAAAAAAATTATTATCATTATTTGACGTAAGGTTTGAATGATAACTTGCCGTGCAAACGTGTGGTATAAAAAAATTTTTCTGTAAAAAAAAATTTAGCCGGAGTTTACCGGTCAATTCGAGATAATGGAAAAAAAAAAAAAAAAAAAAAAAATTTATGTGTGTGTGTGTGTGCCTGATAAAAAAATTAACCAAAAAAAAAAAAAGTTTTTTTATTTATTATTTAATTGACTTACACGAACACGTCGCTTTTGCATTATCGTAAACTTTTTTTAATTGAGCACAAGAAAGTGATCTTGACGATGATGGAAAATTATATGTTTTTTTAACATATTTTCTTCCAAATATAATTTTTTGATAACTGTAACTTGAACTTTGTTTAAAGTATCTCGACATTTCACTAATCACTGCTACCATTTTTCTAACAAAATGGCGACAGAAATCTCCGTTACGTAAAGAAGATATCGAATGCGACCGTTGTAATTTTTTTTTAAAATGTTTCCTCTAAACGAAAAATAAATTTATTTATTCGTTAAATTTATTCTTTAGATCAAAAAATGACCGAAAAAGAAAGTTTATCGAATGTTTCTGCTGACTACTGTGAATAGATTTTCGGTGTTCGGTACGACGCCATCA